GTATTTCCTATGGTTTGTATCCATATATTTACAATGATTCCAGTTCATATATTGAACTTCCAATAGTTGAAGTCTAAATACCAATCCATGGAATTTAGTTCACTTAAACCACTGCTCTGATACCATGATTGAAAGAACCCCTTTCTAAACTTTCATATTTCTGAAAGACCCAAACTTTCATACTTGACAATATAGTTACTCCAAAACATGCTACATGCATATTTATAAAACAATATCTTACATTGATAAAGTGATTACAAAAGATTGGATACAAACCGACTATGTTTTAATATTTTACATAACTACCCAGCATATTGTAAATTTATACAAACATAAACCGAAATACAAAAGTAATATTACAACTATTCTAAACCTTCCAACAGTATATGACTATACTGGTTACTTATTCCCTGCAAATTTGTTAAACATTGAGAGGGTAAGCGGTGACGCTTAGTGAGTTCAATAATAGATACAATATAACGTTATGCCATATATATATACTTCAATATGGCAGAGGCAAAGAGGAACAAGGAACAACAAAGGCATAATGCGAGAAGCTTTCCATATCAATCAATGAGACATAACAATTTCCATACTTGATATACAATCAATAAAGTTTCAGCACAAGTGGCACAGAAAATACTCAGGAATATCATTTTGCTAGAATATTCAGGCTTTCAGCCTTATCTTAGCATACTGCCGAAGCCAAAGTGATGCCTATATCATACACTTCATGGTCAACGGTACATAACAATACCCAAGTGATGCCTATGTCATACACTTCATGGTCAGAGGTATAGCCTTGTTATAAAAATAGCAGAAATAATAACACGAGATGATAACATGGAAAAGCACATAGCACATATAACACATAACATACAATTGTTCCAATATATTAAACTCACCGTGAAATAACCGGGGGTTAAAATAGTAATTTGGGCAGCACTTCGTTACTATAATTAGCTTTCTTCGTTGAAAACCGGGAGTTTTCTTGAAAACCGGGCCCTGCGAGGGTTGGGCTTCGAAACCGAAAAGATAAATTTTTCGGGCTTCTCGGGAATTTCCGGGCATGTTTCGGGCATTGGAATTAATCCCCGGGGCTTCGGGGGAAGTGGAAGTAAAAGAAATATAAGTTTAGGGGTGAATTTTGCCAATTTTCTAACATTTACCCGGGAGGTCTCGCACCCCTTATATAGGTGCGAGCCTCGGATCCGAAGCAAGAGGGAAGGGCCAGCTTGCAGCGAAGCTCGGACACGCGGTAGAAGGGCGAGGATCGGATGCGAGGGTCGGAACAGGTGTGCGCTTCGGATTGGTCGGATGACGCAGCTACTTCCTCGGTCGAATCAGGAAGCGACACGCGGGTCGGGCACGAGGGATGCATGTGAGGATCACGCGATCGAATTCGGACACCTGTGCGACACGCGTCGCTTCTCGGACGCACCACGCAGCCGCTTCAGATACGTGGCCAGCTCAGAGCGAGGGTGACGTGGCTGGCACTATTCATGCGGAAATTCTCGAAAATTGTGCCCGATCTTGTAAAATCCATAACTTTCTCATACAGGCTCCGTTTTTGACGTTCTTTATATGCACGCGTAGGGAAAATTATGCTCTACAACTTTCGTTTTGACTTCGTCGGAAAATTTTGACTTTATTTTAATATTATTATTTTTAACACACCGGGACTGGTAAATCCGTTAAAAATTCATAACTTCTTCATCCGACGTCCGTTTTCGTCAGACTTTTTACCGTTGTACTGCTAATGACGAGACCTTCGATTCTCATTTAGGTTGTGTCGGATAAAAATCACTCGATCTAAAATTCGAGTTTTTAGCTGTCTACTGCTAAGCTGAAACTTAAAAAAATCATAACTTCCTTATACGAAGTCAGATTTTGGTGTTCTTTTTATGAAAATTCTCGGTTTAACAAATACTACGACTTTCATTTAGATCACCAAGGCTAAAAAGTAGTTTATAAAAAACTCACTTTTTACGTCATTCGGTGCCGTGTCGGTTTTGTCGCGGATATTCGATTGGTCATAACTTCTTCGTTATAACTCGGATTTCGACGAGGTTTTCGCCTAAATGTTTCTAACGAGATTCTTTACAACTTAAAATTTTACTTATTTCAAATTTTATATTTTCACTAAATTTCACTATTTGGCTTTTAATTGGAATCTCATAAGACTTCCAATATTTTATGAGTGATTGTAAACATATTTTTACTTCATTTCTAGTAAAAACTATCTGTTAGAACTCAACACTCAATTTCACATAATATTTCATAATATTATTAACTTTTCAAATTACATAACACGATTTCAAAACGTGTATGTTACGATAACCACTTCTTAAAACGGTCGATGATAATCTGCCAACCTTTAAGCCAAACCATAGATTCTTCAACCGGGATACCAAGATAAACAAAGGGAAGAGTTCCAGCCAAACACCCGGTAAAAGAGGCTAAGCTAGCAATTTCCACCGGGTTAACTCCCACCCCATAAAGATTTGATTTAGTAAGATTCAGTTTAAGGCCCGACACCAAATAAAAACACCTCAAAATATGAATCAAATTCTGAATATTAAAGGCATTCCACTCCCCTAGGAAAATCGCATCATCTGCATAAAACAAATGATATATGAGGACCTCATCGGAACCCATCGGGGCACCCCGGAACACCCCTTCAACAACCACATCCTCTAAGGCAATATGAAGCCCTTCCATAGCTAAAATGAATAAAAAAATGAAAAAGGGGATCTACTTGTCTGAGACCTCTGAAAAGTTGAAACTCATCAGTAGGGCTCCCATTAATCAACACCGAAGATCTAGCATTAGAGCACATGCCACGAATCCAAGCTCTCCATTTCTCACCAAAACCGAGAAACCCCATGACCTTATCCAAATACTCCCAGCTTACAGAATCATAAGCTTTTTCAAAATTGACTTTAAACATCATAAACTTTTTCTTTTTCTTTTTAAACCACCTCACCAGCTCATTAACCATCGACGGGCCATCAAGAATTTGGCGGGACTTAAGAAAAGTCGACTGCTCCAATCCAACAACATCATAGAGAACAGGTGCCAACCTATTAGTCAATAATTTTGCAATAATATTAAATTGCAACCCAATAAGACTAATAGGGCGATAATCCTTGATACAAAGCGGATTAATCGGATTTGGGAATCAAAGTAATAAACTACGAATTACACCCCTTCGGAAAAACAGGTTTGTCAAAAAACTCTTGCACAAAAGTAATAACATCATCCACAAAAATCTCCCAAACATGTCTAAGAAAACGGAAGGTAAAACCATACGGAGCAGGGGCACGATCCACACCACAATCCTAAACTGCATTTTTAATCTCTTCAGGCGTGAACCCCGCCTCAGTAGAAGAAGCAACCCTCGGATCCACAGAGTTGAATCTAGGGCTTCGACTGTCGAAACTAACACTAAGAAAAGGCTGAAACTTAGTTGCATAAAAATCAAAAGAAGCCTTTTTAATACTAGCAGGATCCGAAATCCACTCCCCATCAATAGTAACCCCTCTAATCATCAACTGCCTTTAGCATTTTTTCAATAAAGCATAAAAGAACGCAAAGTTCTCATCCCCCTTCACAGCCCAAGTAGATCTAACCTTTTGAGCTACATCCATAGATCTGACTTTTTCTAAATTCGCCAAGTCTCTAAGAATTCCTCTTCTTTCTCGAATAAGGTCATCACTAGATTGACCATCATCAATATAGTTGCCAATCACTACCAATCGGCCCAACAACTGAGATGATATAATTGCGCAGCCGACTTAGCCTCCCCATTCGAAGACCGAATCCTAGCTTTAATAAATTTAAGCTTGTTTTTGAAAACAACAAACTTACTCCAAGCCGGATTACTAACAAAATCAACCACATCTCCTTTAACCACATCATCAAAATCCTCCAAAGAAAGCCAAGAATTGAAGAATTTAATACGAGAAGGCCCAAATTCAACCGTATTTGAATGAAGCAAAATAGGGCAATGATCCGACCATTTCCTATCCAACACCGAGACCTGAAGATGATCAAACCGATTAGAAACCGCATTCGAGACCAATAACCGATCAAGATTGCTAAGTTTAGCAACTATGGCATAAACTCTAGTAAACCACTTTCCAACCATAGGCACATCAATAAGACCAGCATCTTCAATGAAGTCATTAAAAGACTGGGCATAAATAGAGCAAAAAACAGAACCGAAGCTTTCACCCGCCTCCCTAAAAACATTGAAATTACCAAGAAAGACATAATTTCCCCCATTCCTTCTCATGAAAACCGAGAGATACCCCCAAAGATGTTGCTTTCCCACTAAATATCAAGGAGCAATAATATTAACCATAAAACAGTTAATATTAAACGGAATCCACAAGCCTCCCACAATAACCACATTACTAGTACAAGTAACACTACTTTTGGTAAACACATTCGGGTCCCACACAGAAAGAATACCACCCGATAGACCCTGAGCACTACTATTAGCAAAATCGAATCTATAGTTACCCCACATACTTCGAATCTTGAAAAGATCAACTTGCATCATTCTCGTTTCTTGCAAACCCAAAAAAGAAACTGCAAAATGCAAACAAAGCGCCTTAACCCAACTTCTTTTTAAAAAAGAACGAGTACCGCATATATTCAAAGAAAGACACTTCACTGATCCACCTGTACCACACCAATACTAGATAAAATCTTTTTAACCCGTTCCTTATTAGACTCCATATCATACCCAAGAAGGCCACCCATTTCAAAATATTACTTCAACACATATTCTATATCATCAACAACTATCGGAACTTTCTTTTTAAGAGTATTAGAAGATCCGTGAGAAGTAGAAGATTGATCTCGTCTAAAACCGGGAGGTTTTGATGGTGATTCAGATGCCCCTCCCCCTCCACATTAGCCACCAAATGGGACGGATCACCCTGAAGCTCACACTTAGAGACCGTAACCGGAAAAGGCACAACCAGATTGCTTTAATTTTCGGCGACACCTCTCGTGACAGCAATGTTTGGCGGAGAAAGACCCTCATCCACAACTCCATTACCTTTTCTTTTATTAGTAGTTTGAAAAAATCTTCCTTTTCTATCAACAAACCCAGCTCCTCTAACACCATTAATAGGTGTATTATCCATGCTAAAAGATTTCTCTTGCCCCTCATCAACCTTATCACAATTCTCTACATCAATAATATCATTCACATCATCATCAAAACAAGCATCCTCTTCCTCCCCCCTGAAAGATCCAGAATATTCGAACCTATTTCTCCCTCCTCCATAATATCCAGCTCCCAATTTGAGATTTCACGCACCACCACCCCATATTCAACGCCTTGAGCAACCACTTTAATCATATCATGAATACAAGAAGGTTTCCTAGTCTTAATACACACACGTTTAACCGCCAAAGGTGTTGGATTAGGTGTCTAAGCCAATAACTATTTTGGTATGTACTTGACCCGATTGTGAGCATGGTCCTTTTGGGTTGCCTTCACCATAACAACTGATTAGGATGAATTGAGGAGAAAGAGGATTAATTATGATTTATTAATATATTATGTGAATAATATATTAAAAGAGAAATCATATTGTTTAATTAATATTGGTCAAGAATTAATTTATAATTAATTTTGTGGTCAAAAGAGATTAATTAAATAAAGGGGACTGATACTGTAATTATAAGATAGTTACAAAGTTGGGCTTAGGATCCATAAGGAAGCAATGGACAAATTCTATATGGGAGTCCATATAGAAATCGTCCAAAGGGACTTCTGGAAGGAACTTTGGGCTGCTTAAGGACTAAGCAACTGGATTAGGGTTTCCAAGTTGAAAACCCTAGAAGCCTAACTATAAAAGGAACCCTAAAGGCACCCAAAATCTTCCCTAACCTTTCTTGAAGTGCCTTGGATAATTTTTTGTGCCTCCTCCTCCCTCTCCTAAGTCGTCTTGTTGCTAGTGGTGTTTGTGACTCCATTAGAGGTGCAACATTTGAGGCACTAAGCTTTCAGAAGTCAAGATCAAGAGGTTTGTGATTGTTATTGCTACATAACAATCAAGGTAAACTTTCTAACCCTAATCATATGTGATTTTCAGATTTGTATGCTAGTCAATTAGGGTTTATTGCTTTGATATTCAATGTTGTTATGTTCATAGTAGAAAAACCTAGATCAAAGAAATTAGGGTTGGATGAACACCATACGATTGATGTTATGCTCATACCCAACAGTGGTATCAGAGCCTAGGTCGTTTTTCTAGTTGAATAGATGCAAAAGTGAACTGCCAAAAGATCCAAAAATCGAATTTTTTGCTGTCTACGAAGCCGACTCGGCGAGTCCAGTGTGCTGTTGCCGGGATTTTCGATTTTTTGAGCAGATTTTGTTAAGGATAATTACCAAAACTCGATTTTATTGCCTAAAATCGACTTTTTATGTTTGGAATGATTATCCTTATCAAAATTAATGGATTTGGTTAAATATGGATAATATAGGATTATTATGAGTCAAATATTTGACCTAGTAAGTTTGGAAAGTTTCAAATTACACCCTTTTGGTTTTATAGTTTAAATTTGAACTTAAAAGTTTTAGTTTTGAAATTTAAATAGTTAAACCCTAATGTTTGAAAGGTTTCAAAACTTGTCCTCAAGTTTTGAAAATTAAAATTTAATTAAAAGATATTAATTTTGAAATATTGAATTCTGAAACCCTAGCATTTTGAGAAGTTCAAATTACATCCTTATGGTTTTATTAAATTAATTAAGTGTTTAATTAAAAGAGATAATTAAAAGAATCCATAATTATATGGTTTAAGTTAATCAAATTAAAAGTCTAATTTATTAATAGATTCAACCACATAGTATTTTAAAAGTGTAAAATACACACCCTTATACTATATAGAATTAAAAGTTTAATATTATATATGTATAAGTAAATGTCAGTCTTACCGTTAGTAGGCCTCATTTACGAAGCTGATCTATAAGGGGTGTTCAAGAAAATTGCCTATAAAATGGCGATTGAATGGGTATCTACTCTTACCCACCACACTCTTGACTAGTGGATGGTCGTTAGCCGAACGGGTAGGATAGGAGACAACCTTCCATTATAAGTATAATGAAAGACGAAGTAACTGAACACTTTTACAAATTCCCAAATCTTAGTTACTTTAGGAAAAATGTGGAGTTGGTGCTAATCCATGAAATTGCACATTGCACCTTGTTGGTCGTTAGTGGAGCGTGTGTGGTTAACCGGCACACTAATATGGGACCAATGAAGGATGGCAATGGGTAGCTCGTAGATTATCATAGATGAATGGAGCGTGTATGGTTAACCGACACATTGATTAGGTGATGGACATCTTCGAGAGTACCAAGCTGATTTGCATGGTTATCCACACCTTGTTTGTGATCCTCGGCATCCCAGTCACAAACTTGAAGGACATAATCGAGATTTAAACTTGCCATTGAAATTTTCAATAAATCTCAAAAGATCTAGGAGTTTCAATTCATTTAAAACCTAATTTTCAATTTTTGTTTTTCATGGTGGAAATTGGTAAATCGTCATTTACCTACCTTCAAATGTTCTGCAGCCGGATTACGGCATCCCTCTTCCGAGTTATAGAATATTGTGTTGGATCCTAGCCTTGATATTTCATTTGTGTGTTATATCAAGCATTCTTATAAACTAACTTGAATTTCTCCCGTTTTGTAGATGTCAAATTCTAACTATGGTCTTCTCGAACCCTTTGGAAAAAGCTTTCCACATGAAGATGATGTTCCATGATTGGATTGTGGAAATGGAAATCATGCTTCACTTCCTCCACCTCCTCCAATAATTCTCCCTGACCCACGTGTTCGAAGACTTGAAAAGTTCAAGGTCACTCAAGCCCTGTTGGCAAACAAACACGAAGATGGAAATTCTGTATGTGCTCATGTCTTGAATATGAAGTTGCATATTGATAGATTGGGAATATTGGGTGTCGAAGTCTCAAGGAAGTTGGATGTTAACTGGGTTCTTCAATCACTTCCTGATTCATATAGTGAGTTCATTAGAGAGTACTATATGATGGACAACGACACGGACCTCATTGATTTGACTTATTTGCTTATTGCTGCTGAATCAGCGATGATTTGGCGCACTGGTCAAGCAAATCTGTCTGGTAAATCAATGTCTCAAACTTCCATGGACATTGACAATGGCAACATTAGAAGTCCAGAAAGGTTTTCTCTAGGCAAGAGAAAGGCTAATTCTGATATTGTCCCGTGTACCATTCCAGAAGAGTCCATTTGCTTGTATTGTCAAGAGAAGGCATTGGATGCGAAGCTGTCAGATTTACCCGAGAGATCGCAAAGATGGGAGAGTCAAGATGTATGACTCTGCTTCAGGTAAAATCCACTATCTAACTCTATTAATTTTTTAATTTTAGATTCTTAATACATGATGTGATAAGATTGCATTGTGATGTGTTGTAGGATCGAAGAAAAGAAAGGAAACTTAAAGGAAGAAGTGAGTTGAGTCTGATCGTGAAGAAATGGATTTCGATAGCATGATTCGATGATCGGATTTTTGAGTTGCTACTTAGAGTTATGATAGATTGCTTAGGAATATGTAATAACATAGTTTTCATTTGAATTTGCGTTGTAAGGACAAGTTTTCCGCACCTTTTTATAAATAAAATAAATTTTGAGTTTTGTCTTATTTATATATCCTTGCAATATCATTTGTGAAAATCGATGCTTGTGTGTTTCTATTATAAGCAATATTAAGTGGATGTGATTCTTAGTTATGTTATTTATGGTAGTGTCGTAATTTTTAAGTAAGGAAAGATTCTCATCGCCCAAGTTTCAATTGGACAGAAGCTTGGAATCATATGATTTGAGTCATGTAATGTATGGAATTTTGGTACTTAGGAAATTAAGACTAATTCCTTGTTCACATAGGTATGTGAGTCAAGTGAAAGACTAGGAGATCTGGTACGCAATGTTGTGCACTGGTCAAGTCCACCACAAATAACAATAAGATTATTCGTCATGATTTACTAAAAGTCTAGTAAATGTGGTTATGCTTACAAGATTAAGTGTAATTCTAAATCATTGAAAAGTTTCAATGAATGGCAGAACGAATAAGAAGAATCAATTGGGCAGAAAGATAAAAGTTTTTCCAATCAGAAAAGATGCGAGAGTACTTTAGTATCATGTTTTATGATCGCCTCATTGATTATGAAACCATATCACAATTGATCCTCTAAGTAAATCTTAGTGCACGAGTATGGCTAAGAAGAGGAATCAAGAATTGTTGAAGTGGTTAAATCAAAAGGTGAATCATACTTCGTTCCAAAATCAAGTCTTAAAATTGTACTCCAAGATTGTGATATTGAGTGACACATCTTCAGTATGTTTAAAACACTCATCAAGTGTAGAGTAGGAAAGGTTTTCTTATTCCTACACATTTGAAATTGGTAAGTTGTGATGTCTTGGATAAGACAAAGACCGATTAAGACCAATTGGATGAAGTGTTGTCTTGATAACAATCCGCACTAACTCTTGAGTATTTGTTTGTCAAGAAATGTTTCTTGACAAAAGAATCTTATATGTCAAGAGGTCAGTGGGAGTCTTAAAGATCTTGAAAAGTTTCAAGAACTAATCAAGAGTCACCTATTGTTAATCACTAGTTGACATAATTTTGTTTCTATGCCATTCCACTAAACTTACTTATGCATATGAGTTCTACGAGTTCTCAATTGACTGCATAAAGGCAAGCACCTTGTTCAATGAAAGTGCATTGACTAGTATAGGTGAGCTTCTAAATAACTTGGAAGCAATGGTGGGACCCTTGATGGCAAGAAATTAATAATGAACAAGTTCTGTCCATAAGAGTTTGGATTTTTCACAAACATTATCTTATGATTATGGTTATGACAAATTAACATGGATAGGAGCACATACACCATAAAATCTAAGTGTCATAAGGTTTCTCTCCGTTTCATGAAAATGACTGTGAGGAAACGCTTTCACTAAGAGAGATTTTAAGGAGATAACAGTTATGATATTTGCGTTCTCAAATTCGATTATGATTACAACATCCCTCTTCATAGTTCGAATTGTAAGAAATGGCAATAAGTCTTAACATTCAGGACTTACTGTTGTGGGTTCTGAAATGGTTTAGACACACATGTGAGCTATCTAAGGAAAGGTGTATGAGTTTGAGAATCTTAGATAAAGGCTTATCGAAGCATCTAATATCAGAAATATGAACTTTGGTAAGAAAGTCAACAAGCATTGATTTCTAGAAGTTTAGTTAATTTCTGAATACATGTCAAAGCTAGTGGAAGCATAAGTGTTATGCTGAATATAATTATCATG